TGGTAATGGTGGATATACGGGTGGGGTACTTGTGTGCAGGCGTCAATGACGTTTATAGTGTATGCCCCGAATTGATGCCCCTGTTAAAGTCGTAGCCAAAATTAAATATTGCAGAAAATGAAAGAAAGATATAAAAACTAGCGTGGATACTAAGTACGGTCTGCGGAATGAATGCATCCTAGCTCCAAATTGGGTTGGGCATTCCTGATTTTCCAAAAATAATAATTTATTGCCACTAAGGTCACATGTATGTTAGAAACTGAAGCAGTAGTTGTGTGCTAGACGCGAATGTTGTAGTAAGCAATGTGTAGAGCAATTAGCCGGGAGGGCTACCAACAGGGATCATACCGCCAAATGTAACAAAGCCAACGCACTATGCAACATTCTGTATTGTGAAGGCGGCAACAGTTGCAAGAACCATGAGACCTGATACGAGTTAAAGGTCTCTTCAATGGCAGTTTTTGATGACAGTGTTCAAAAGACTGCAGTATTTCATTAAGAAAGAGCTTCGTATCAAGCGACAATAATTTTGAAAAAATAGATGAGGTCGCCAGAAGAATGGTTTTGTTCAGATTCGCACCCGAATTCATCATCAAAGACAGTAACAGATGCGCGTGATTCGTGCACATGAGGTTGCAGCATTCATAGAATGCAGTCGCCATGCTACTGAATACCTATGACAACCAACGGCTTCCCCTGCATCGGAGATGGCTGACCCCTGGTGGGCTAATAGCTTGACTGCGAGCCAGCGTGTCGTCAGTTGCTGAAATTTCGCCATCCTTGTTGTATGTTGGTGTGATAATGGTTCGGCAACCTGGCTCAACTGTCTGTGCGCCCCTCGAGTGACCAATGACTATAGCCAAAGTAAGTTTTGTCATCGAATGTGGAGAGCGGAAGCTATCGCACTTTTTAATAGACAGGGGTCCCATGAACCATTATTCCAGCAACCCGCGGCCCAAGCGATTCTCACTTCTCGTCAGAATTTCATCTTCATGGTACGTGAATGTCTGAGTGGATCCCGTCGAATGAGCCGCGGCAAGAGAGTTGGCGCCATTTCTCCAAACTGCTGCTGCGTGTTCGACGATCCGCGTACGGATTAGTCTTCCAGTTTCTCCGACGTAGTCGATTTGCCCGCAACTGCACCAGATCCGATACATGACTCCAGATGTCTCTTGCCGCGGTAGTGGGTCTTTTGATCCCGTTATCTGGAGCCTAATTGCTGCCTCCGGTCTGTGTGCGACTCCAACTCCAAGTGGTGCATAAAGGCGGCTTACGGCCTCCGAGACGTTCTTGACGTACGGAATCACGCCAAAATTTGGCGTCGGTGTGATTTTGTCGCAAGTCTCATTTGCACATGCGCCAGGTGACGAAATTGCGCGGGTAGTCATTTTTTGAACATCCATCAAGGAGATTGAAATTCGGCAACCTTGTCCTGCGATTCCCTTCAGTGCGTCTCAACATGCCGATGAAATGCCCTTACGCAACTGCGTTTGGGGCTGATTGAGTAGTTGCTGTTGAAATTCATTACTTGCGTCGTGTTTGTCACTTTCCTGAACGCATCGGCCTTTGGAACACCACAATCTTCGCGACAGACAAGCACGAATCCGAAACGTCAAGCGAAAAAAGGCTGTTCTAGTGATCGCATCTACTTCTCGACTACTTAGAACTCGCATTTTCGCTTGTATCAGCAATGTCATAATTTAATTGGACAAGGAGGACGCAGACCCCGAGAAGCCCGTTTTGTGGATTTGACCTCCTTGAAAATTCTGCATAGGGTTCCATGAAATAAATTTTTTTACCAAAAGAACTAAACGTCTTATCAATGGTAGGGACGTCTAGACAGCTTGAACATAATAAGTCGCGATTGGTGTGGCTGCCGTATGCTCGCTGACCGGTCGACAGTGTTCGAGTTATAAACGGCCCAGAACCCACAAGAGATGCTCCTAGCTGGCCAGACAAGTTCAATTCGTCACTTTCCCCATCCTGGTTACTAATTTTGCACTTGGCGTGAAAACGGACTGAAAGTATCAACTCACTATTACCGTCCCTTGATAGATGCTCATCCGTGCCCCCTCCCCCGCATGAGTATTAACTCAGCCCACTTAAAGTGCGGCGCTGCGCACCAAATACACACTACAATTACTGCCACCCTTCAACCCTCTGCCTCCCCTCTGATGACAGGTTCCAGTACGAACCTCAACCGACAGACCAATAAACCTCTCCTCCCAGTGACGGAGAATTTACCTTCGTCAGTAGTTGGAACGTCTCTTCGTATGCATCGGCACTCCGTGGTTTTTGCGTGTGACATCTCATGGCCCCTTTCTAGTGTGCGTTTATGACTCATGAACGGCAGTACGAAGATCCCAGATTCAAAATAACCTCGAACCGTTCGGCTCGAAAGAAAGCAATGTTTCTTATTTCCAATTTTATGTCAGTCTTGAAGCGCAGTTCATAAGATATCTCTTTCCAGTAAATCCTCATAAGGCCTATGACATTGGCCAGCAATCACTTATCTGGGTGGAGAATAAGAGTGCAAAAAAAGTTTTTCATTGTGATAGACAGCTCGAAGCGTTTTCTGCAGGCGAGACGGTGAGGCAAGACTCCACAGGGGACAGGCAACTGTGGGAAGATATCCTGCGCTGACTTGTATAAGGGGATCAGGTTAATTAAATTTGGGCCATGGTATTTGCAGAGCCTCCACGAAACTCTATCGCCAGCACACTGACAAGTGGAACACTCGGATTGTTGTCGAGTCCGGTGTGGTTAGAAGACTAAAAGGGAGGATAGGGTGGATTGCAGCAAGCTACTTTGCTTTGAAACCAGTCGAATGAATGACTGCAGTCAACCGTGACTGAAAGAGCCGGAGGGAATAATATGAACATCGACCGGACCGGCTTCAGAAATGAAAAAAACTGCGTTTTGTGCGGGGTATGAGCGCACGATGCAAATATTATCCAGGAGAAACCTCTAATCTAGAAATTTAAGCAACTGTCTCAGCGATCTTGCTTACGGGATCATGTTCCGTCACTGTTAAGAATTCACTAACTGACAGCATAAGTAGCCGAAAGTACAGAATTGATGCACCTTAAAAGCCGCTTCCAACACGGTCTCCATTGATTTAAACTAGTAATAATTACTGTCGTCTACTAAACCACGATTTCTGATAATTTATTGTACACCAAAAGAGACGGCGACAGGGAGAGCTGCGAAATAAATTGATCCTCGGGTTTGAAAGGCAAGTGACAGTACCTATGGGGAGTGGCCGCGAACCCGCTGTCATTTGCACGACTGCAAAAAGAGATAAGGCCAAGAACCCATTAGGGTATGGAAATGTTGTCGGATGCTAAACGAGGCTTCAGTCACCATCGACGCCTTGCAGACTAGAGGCGTCCGAAGACCAATACACCTCGCTCGCACAACGGTTCGATCGCCGTTTCCCATAAGATCCACCACGTAATCCACAAGAGAGTGGGATCAGGGGCGGTGACTTGCGCGTGAATTCGTTTATAGTGATGGCAAAACTGCGCAGCATCTCTCACACACTCCCTCCCCTCCCATCTGGGCCCAGTGTCATGACCGAGTTAGGATGACCGGAAGTGGGAGAAGGCGCAGGGGCTGGCACGACTACAGCCGCGCCCAGGAGTACCACCAAACCCCGTGATCCGCAACATGAAGCTGATCAGGACCTTGCTGAAAAAAGGGGCGGCACAGACCCCCAACTGGTGTGGCTCGAGACTGCATCTGAGTGTGCCACCATACCCTACTGCTGGACTTTGGTATGCGTGCGCATTCACAATAACGCCTGCCAGGCCCCCTCTACCGTGTGGCCCGCTTGCTACATATCACACTAACCTTCATGAACATAAGCGACACATGCGGTGAGCTAGCCAGTTAAACCAGTATTATCGCTGGCCTAGCAGTGCGAAAAACATAAAACCACAGAATGGTAAATAGGCATGGCTGAGTCCCGAACAACATCCGCGTTCACGGCGAGCTGATCCCGGTGCCTATTCGTATGAACACATAACGAACTTCTAGACGCGTGGGCGTTCGCATTGCTTCGTTATTCTGCTGGACTTCGTGCGTCCGGGTGAAGTTTATTGCATGAAATCGGGACCAGTCCTAGAACCTATTCTATTTTAACGATATAACCTTTACTAAACCCATAACTATATTTTACTAAGATGTTTTTGTCATCTGAATTAGTAGAAATCGCTGCGAAGTGGTTAAAAAGCCAAAGCAACCGGCATATGAGAGTGCTCCCTACCTGTCCGTTGGGAACGATGTGGGGCATTCACTGGCTGTCAAACTCCCCAACCTTGCGTCACGCAGACAATCAGCAGGACAACGATTTCAGTCTCCTAGCTTCTAATTCTTCTGACAGTATGGCGAGTCCATGTACACCGTTAACGCTCTCGAAACAAAATCAGCAGCAATATTATGCGGTTGAGAATCGGTCAGGTTGGGCACAGGAATATGGACCCCCGTACTACAGGTGGCCTTGCCCTAAATTCCAGGTCAGGGCTATTATTTCGGTTAGAATTAGGGTTAGAGTTATAAAAGTTAGGGCTAGGAGAGTTAGTGTTAGTGCTAGGACTGGGAGGGTTATGGTCAAAGTTGGGACACGAGGATGAGTACCCCTGGAATTAAGCGCGAGGCCACTTGTAGTACGGGCGGAGCCCAGATTCTGGAGTTGGACCATCAGTCATAAGAACCCCGAAGTCCATTTGAGGAACCTTCGTAAGTTTGGCTGTTTGGAAAGTAATCGTAAGGCGCACGTACAGTTAAATTCTCAAGGCGACCGATTATATTTTTTCAATAATAACACAGACTCTGTCACATAACTGGCATGACACACATAGCAAGGCACTCAGACCGGTAGTGGAGATGAAATGCAGCAAAAATAAAATTTCAACGTGTGCTACGGCACGGAAAGGGTCTTGATCGAAGACGAAAAAGGACGGATAGAGAACATTCCCATGCGGTAGATATCTTCACTATCACGGGTTCATGGATCCGTGGGGAGGAAATTCCTCAACAGTTGACTCATTGGATGCATCTTCGCCGGTAGCCACATCGTCAAACGTCTCCTCCGGAGGTTGCCTGTGTCTAATTAGTTGGTCCAGGTTGGAAGCAAACAGAGGCCCAAACAGATTCCCCACACCCACTAAATATAGGTAATAGGGATTAAGTGAGATTACGGTGTCAACTATAGACCCCAAACACTTAAATGAACTGAAGTGGTCCCGCCAATCTAGCTCGTTAGATCTAACTAAACATACAATACGAGGGATTTTACGCAGAGGAGCAAAGGGAAGGGAAAGAGGAAAGAGGCCAGCCCTACTACGTGACAAAAAACGATTGGAACCCTCTACCCCCAACAGGTACGGTGCACTACACAGCAAAAAGCATGCTAAAATAATCAAAGGGGACACTAGCTGCAATTCGTACCGCCAGTCAAAATGAACTATCAGTCTTGCTGTTATCGCCAAGAAAATGTAAACATTAGCGACACTAGGAGTGGTAAATCATATTGCCAACTTTCTGCACAGCAACGCAACGAAGGCGAAAACAATCCAGGTACTAACAGAGGTGAGCCTTACATAACTAAATTGTCTGGGTTTTTAGCTAGCACCTGCACGGTCCGTACGACAAATCATCCGGTATTCGTGTACAATTATTTCCTTCCAGTATTTTGCCATACTACACCTCACCTTCACACGGTTACTGAAAGGTTTTAAACTGTAAAGCCACTGGGTCAAATTACCCGAAATGGGCTCAAAGACGTCGCTTTCCCCGACCGCCTCTGATTCGTCAGTTGTCAAAAAATCAGGTGAGTGTCGACCGCGCGTGTCGAGCTGGTTCCTCATCGGACGCTCGGTGCTGGGGCAGGGAACATCTGGACTTCTGATGGTTGACTCTGATGTAGACTCCGCGTCAGCTGACGTTATGTCATTGACTGGCGAAAACTGAGAGGCATGAGTACCTTGAGACGCCTCTTGGAGGACCTTGAAGCATAAGTAAAAGTATAACAGACTCAGTACTTTCCTTACGAATTTTTGCCTGTATAAACTTCAGTCGTTTGTTGCAGTAACCACTGGGTCGAAGCACTCTAAAGGCAATACACCAGCGTCTGTCCAGAAAAAAGTTGCAGTCTGTGTACAAACAGTGCACATAGAAGACGACAAACAAATGCTGGGAAGAAATAATTCACAAGTAAAATGGAAATGTGACAACGGAGGTGAGATAAGCAAACAGCGTTTCCAAACCGCATGAGACCCAGGCTGCTTGGTGTGGTTCTAGGACACGCAGTCCATCATCAGGAGCAATGATCCCTCTACTCATTCGACACTACGACTTGATGTTGGCAAATTGCTCAGTGGCGCGGGGAGCGGGCATGTGAATACTGATTCCATCGACCGTACTGGTGAGGCAAACTGTCGAGTAACTGTGCGCGCGCGCGGCCCTCCCCAAGTATGATGCGACCGAGCGTGCGTCTCAAATGAGAGTCGACCAACGTCACGCTGTGTAGCTGCCTGTGCTCGGAGCTGAAAGCGTGCTCCCTATCCTCGAAAGCCTTGGGCAGCGTAGGTGCCAGGACAGAAAGATCTACATGCGTTTGAAACGCTACATGACCATCTTGCAACGGATTCGGGCGCTGCAAACCTCAGCGGACATCGTCGCGTAGCAGCTGCGTCCTTCAGATATTACACTACCTGTTAATCGCTATCTCAATCACCGTCTCTGATGGTCAGTCCGAAAATGAGTTCGAGACGTAGGGCGAATAAACCTCTTATTTCACCAACTGACTCTCCATTAACCGCTCTCTGGCATTCGGTTCTTCTTGTATCTCGATAAGAGAGAACAGTTTTCAATAAATACACAAGCAAGACCCTAAATCGGCTTAGTACTTGGTGTTGATTGTTGCGAAATGCAACGCCGTTACAAAGGGATGGTTATAAATACTCTAATAGGGAGCATTTGCTTGATGCTTATACCGTAAGCACGGCGCACCCTTATCAGTGTATCCCACATGCGAGAGTTTTATACCCAATCGTTTGGTGTGCAAAAAGCAACTATGGTATTTGCGGGGAGCAAAGGCCGTGTTGCTTCGGGAGAAAAGGAAAAAAAAATAAAAGTAGACCTAATTTCAGGAATGGTTAAAAGTGGCCCAAACTGGGAATGACAGTAAGTGAGGATAGCTTTAATTCTGCGGAGAGTCAGTCAGCGAGTTCAAACAACTCGAAGGAACTTCTAGCTCATGCCATGAAGAAATGAGCATTGCTTAACAATCAATGAGCAAGAGTCGCAGACGTTTGCTTAAGGATCATGGAGTGCGGCTGTTAATAGACTTTTGTGGAATTTCACCCCCGAATACTCAAGAGACTAGCGCTAGAGGAAGTTTTTCACTCCACAATCCACTTTTGTCTGGCAAATAGGAGTTGCTAGCAAGTAGAGCGTGTAGATGTCAAGACAGAGTGGAGAGTAAGCCCGAAACGCTGGTTGCAATTTCTCCAAATGCCTTGCAGAAGGTTTAGACTAAAGCTGAAGATGAATAACAGACGTAATAATTAGGCAGTGACAATCAAAGGGACACGAAACTCTGGATAGCCTTATTAGAACTCTCCCTTAGCTTCTCATCGACAGGCAGATAGGCAAGACCTCATACTCTCGTTTGCACCCCTTCTCGGTTGACCTGTTAGCTCTTCTCCACCGATATACCCAAAAAGCTTGTTTCCTTGGACCTCAGTTTCCATTCTGACTGAAAACGCGACAGACCTTTTATACTAACGCGAGCAAGGTTCAGGTCATTTGAAGTATCTTCTAATTCATTATTCCTAGGCAACAAAATTGCGATATCGCATACCGAGATCCCTTTTAAGATCCTAAAACAGGAATTCACAAAGCTGACATTAATAAACTGTAGTTAATCTTCTTAAATAAATAAGTAAATGTAATGTTAGTTTTCTATTCTAAATATGCATCTAACCAGGCACGATGGAAGGGCAGACACAAATACAAGGAAGTTTAACCAAAATCGGTAAAGCGAGTGAAACTCAACTGATTACACACGGCAAGCATTAAGCGGCAGTCTGGTAGGCATGGTTAAATGGCTCCCGGTTGTTGAGTAATCAGACGCAGTGAGTATTCCCACACAAAAGCACGTTCTTTAACGTCTTTAACGTATTTTGCCCTACTTACCAGTGGCAACTTCCCCGCGTACTGAGCGCCGCAGTAGGCTTCGGCGACGGATGGAAGTAATGAATAAAAAAACATACGCCCTGCAAAGCTTGATGCACGTCTTTAACGAGAACACGCTATAACCTGACAAACATAAGCAGTGAGCAGAATCGTTTCCTAAAATCATACGTCGGCTGTGCTACCAGTCCATTACGCATGGCCTGCACTTACAGGCGGTCCATGCTTTCCGGCAACTACAGTTTTGAATGAAAGCACAACCCTAAAGGCATGTTTCGCTTGCAAAAAAACGCGCCCTCGGACTATTAATTAAAGCGTGGGGGTGGGGACGTGAACGGGTATCATTAGTCACAATGACGCCGCTCAAAGAACGGTGGCTGAAACGTGATGAGCCTCTGCAATTAAAAAAAAGCTAAAATCGTCTCGTAAAAGCAAAATATGAAAAGGAATCGCTTAGAATTGAAGCGTGCTTAGTTCGAGTTACTGCTGTTCGGCATCGTCTTCCTCCTCGATTTCAGGAGATTTTTTTCATATTAACCTTGTTGGCAGTGTTGCGCTTAAGCAATCCAGGACATCAAATGTCGACCACCAAATAATTCCTTTTATGGGGACGTAAACTACCATTTTGTGGGCTTGCAATCGTTGGCCAGATAGGTCACCTTCGTGTTCTGTTGAGACTGATTAAAGCGTAGGAGGTATGTTTACTGATGATAAAGCAGAAGTAAAGAGGGCAGATGTTAGGTAAGAAGGGTTTTTGTTGCTTGGACTATCCCACTGTCTTATTCACCGACATTCCCGGAGATAACTAGAAAACTTCTCAGATATTTCGTACGCATAAGTCTGGGGTTGTTCGGTTTGACTTTGGCGTGTAATGCTAGGTGACGGTAAGGGCTGCCAGAGTTCTGTAACAGAACTATAGCATAAAGAGACAAAGAAGAAAAAGGAGTAAACGACGGGGGTGACCGCAATGTTGACGAGCGTAATTGCCGCTGTAAACATCTGGATCACGATTGCTTCTGAAAGTAATACAAAAGTAATTTTAACCGACTCACGGCAACGGCGCCATTGTTCTCCTTAGTTTCAGTAAACGGTTAGCAATGGAAAATTATATTTCAATTTTTTGCGCTTGATAAGAGGAGTTAAGACCCTTCCTAACCCAGTAGAAAGGATAAGAGTTAAAAAGGAATACCGGTGAGTTCTCAATAAAATTATAAAACGCACAACAGACACATTTCCGTGTTCTTACGATCAGGAAATAATTTGAGCCTAGTGGTCTAGGCGAGGAACGATGACCAGCTAGTAGGTTTTTCAAAAATACTATACAGATGAACAGACTCATTGAACGGCGTTCTCAATGTTTGACGAAACAAAATTCTACACGTAAATAACGAGTGACAACTCAGTCTGAAAATTTGTCCTCGCTTCATTTTCTTCTGCCGCCTGTCGCACAATACTCAGCTGTACATCCATACGGTATTAAAAAAGCAGCCACTTTGGGTTGCCAAGAGAGTAAAAAAAGCAAACTAACCAAAACCAGGCTTAATTGGGGCAGGCTAACGAGCTGTCACTATGTAAAGTGATGGCATACATCGAACACGTCAAAATCGTACACGCGTTAACAGAAATGCGAAATTCAGTCCTAATTGCAGACAAACAAACTGCATCCAGAGAGAGAGGAAGTTCAGAGAGGAAACGGCGGTGGCCTGATAGCAGGGAGTGGTGGATTATGCGTTCAATCGGAATTAAAAAGCTGCCGTTGCAATGAAATCAAGGAGAACTAGAATAAGTCAAAGAACCCAAGCCGACAGTTACAGACGTGGCTACGTGAAAAGGAATTGGTGGCATGTATGTTTTTTCAACCCACGGGTTGCGAATTAAGCTGCTCATCTCTAGCACGAGCTCCACTTCGATGGGCACTAGAGGTAGTGAAGACAGAGGCAATGAGCACGCATCCGCCTCCACTTTCCACACTGTTCCAGCAGATTCTCTCACCGCAAGGGTCTTCTAGGCCACATGCGCATCCACGAGAGCAGAAGTCACAGCAGCCTCGAAACACCTAGCTCCTTCTGTGCATCCGCCATGCCTAGCCTAACCCACACACCGCCGCCCAGCGCCCACCGCCTGCAGCTCCACCGTCGCCGTCATCACCAAAACCGACCCTGACGCCACCGATCTATCCTGCCCACACTGTTCTCGCGCCTTCACCCCACACATCGGCCTGATCAGTCAGATGCGAATTTATAGCTCTGAGCCTGGCGAACCAGTGCCTGGAGCACCCACTTACACCCGACGCCTCGCCTCAGCTGCCTTTACTGCACACGCACTTTCATTCATCGCATGGACCTATTAGGACACATGTGCGTTCATGATAACCTGCGGTAGACAACCGCGAGGTGCACCACATAATCACATCTCCCCCACTGCAATACACAACATAACCAACCACAGGCATCCAAATGTCACCTCCCACGCAAGTGGGAAGCGTGCGTCTCGATTCGTTTCTATACAACCCCTCTACTGTATTTGTGATTCGGGTCCGAGACTGCCACTGCGCGTCAAGCGCTGTAGCTTGGAAGGCTGCTGATTGACGCCCAACTCAGTCCACGCAGTCTGCCTAGTTGTGTGTGTGTGTTTGTGCGTGTGTGCTTGTGTGGAGTGGCGGACAGGTGAGCAGAGAGCCAGGTTGGAGCGGCTCCTTCTGGACGTGACTTACGGTAATCTGACACATGGGAAATGTATGCCGCTCAATACCCGTTGTGCGAAATCCTAGTGCTTGTATTTGGGTGGCCGAGTCGTGCGTGTGGCGCGCGCAGACAAGTTTACTAGATATGTCAGTCACTGCGCCCATTCCCCGCACCAAATAACTGATCGGCTCGGACAGTGGCTAGGGCCTGGGAATGGGAAAAAGACGAGATCGACGTCTCAGCGCATTTCTTCATTGTAAACTATCTACGTGGTTGAAGCAATCACGGTGCGTCAAAAGCCGTGGCTTGGAAGGTTTTCAACTGATAAGATAACTTGGACTTCGAAGTCAGCCCTGTGTTGTGTGTTATTGTAGAACGACCGACTGGTGGTCTAAAAGTCTGGCTGTAATGGCTCCTTCTTAATGTGGTTTTATGGCACTCCCACTCCGTGGGATCCGAGTCCGGTGGCAGCACGCCTGGGTGCGGCCTCGGCCACGCCAGCCTCTTCTATTGTTGTTGGTTGAAATCCTGGTCAGGTTAGCAAAAGTAAGAGATCCGGGTCGGTAATCTGAGGAGAATGAATTGCTCACCGGATCCTGGTCATTTGCTGTGCAGGCCAGGTATAGAGTGGAGCGCTAAAGTGGGGACTCGATCGTGCCATCCCATTGTGCCCTCCCCGTCTCCGATATTGCTGACTCTGTTTTCAC